GGGCGGGGGTTCTTTACCTCTTTGGGGTCTTTGACGAGGTTCCTTGGGTGATGGATGGGGATGGGGAATGGGAGATCTTTGTATTGTGTATTGTAGAGTTGGGTGGTTGGGAAAGGGAGGAAGGGGGGGGATAATTGGTGCATAGATAGCTAGCTAGACACAGGTATGGATGTCGACGTCGGTCGTCCTCTGTATAAGCGGATGAATAGATGATTTCCTTCACCTATGTATCTACCTACCTAGAAGTTGGTAAGATTACGTCGTCCTACGACGCTATCGCTTACCTAGGTATAGACTTGTAGTTAGCGGAAGTAAGTAAGGCGTCGAGTTAAGGTATATATATCTTTATATTTTCCTTATATTAAATTTATAATATAGTAACCTCTAATTACCTTACTACCTTACTACGTTATTCTATACCTACGAAATATACCTAATATCTATCTAACCACCTACCTACCTAGTCCATATAAAAAAAAGAATCAATTATCGTAGACCTGTATTCTGTTCTATTCTATCCCCTCCCCTCCTCCTCACCCCTCTTTCCTCCTCCCCCTCTTTCCTCTCACCCCTCTTTCCTCTCACCCCTCCTCCTCACCCAACCCACCATCCCTCCACCCCCCCCCTCTTCCCAACATACCCCTCCTCCTCAACCCCATGCCCTCCCACAATGCCCAAGAAAACCTGATCGAGGGTCGTCCTACTCACAGCATAATACCGGATTCCCATCCGCGCACTGTGATCTTCTAGAAAGGTGATGAGGGAACCTATCGTCCATCCACGGCCCGTTTCGGAGTCGGATGGTTTTTCGTTGTTGGTTGGAAGTGGAGGGTTGGAGGTGGAGGGGGAGGTGGAGGTGGAGGTAGAGTTGTGGATATAATCTCCATCCAGATCCTGATCCAGATTCGGAGTGTTCATCGACTCCAATACGGACTCGCTTCGCTCGCTTCGCTCACCCTCACAAACCGAAAACCTCACCTGCCCATGAAACGTCCTCTCCTCCACCTCCACCTCCGCCCCCCCCAACACGCCCCCAATCCACCTCCTCACCCCCTCAATCTCCTCCCCCCCAGTATGCGGCGCACTCCCCAGCACAAGATGCACAAACAAACGTCCCCCATGCGTCCTCCTCAAGAACCCCGTCGTACCAACCGCCAACATCCGCTTCGCCATGATGCCCGCGCGTGTAGCCAGTGCATCCGCCTCCTCCATCGAATGGGTCGTGAGAAGCAGCGAGCGGCCCGGGACCACCGACGAGAGGATTGACCACATCTGTCGCTTCGCAGCGGCGTCCATGCCCGAGGATGGCTCGTCGAGGAGGAGGACCGAGGGGTTCCCAATGAGGGCTATTCCGAGGGAGAGTTTACGTTTGTTGCCGCCGGAGAGCTGGGAGGCCATGCGGGAGGCGAAGGGGATTAAGCCGACGGCTTTGAGGACTGCCGAGACGTTGGATTCGACGTGTTGTACTCCCCTTACACGACCGTAGAATTGCAGGTGTTCTCGCGTGGTCATCACGTCCGTGGCGTCGAATTGGGGACAGACGCCTAGTTGTGCGCGGGCTTTGGCGCGTTGGGCGCTGATGTCGATGTTACTTACAAAGACCTTGCCTCCGTTCTTGGAGGGCTGGATGTCGCCTCGGATTAAGGAGATGGTTGTGGATTTGCCTGCGCCGTTGGGTCCTAGTAATGCGAATACCTCTCCGCGTTTGATGCCGAAATTCAGGTTCTCAACGGCGGTCATGCGACCGAATGATTTCGTGAGGCCGAGAACACGGAGGCCGTCGTTGGTACTGCTTATCCTTTCCAATTCATCGGCTTGTTCTTCGAGCGCTATTGTTTGTACGGGTTCCACGGGTGGAGATCCACGGACACGACGGTACCATGCTAGGATGGAGCCGGAATCGTACCAGAGGAGGATGGCGAAGAGGAAGAGGATTTGTATTATGAGGTATAAGATTGGTCCTCCGTATTGGAGGATTCCGCCTGGGGTGGTGGAAAGTTCGCGACCGGAGCAGGTTGTGGAGAAGAGGTTTAGTGCGATGAATAGGGCTCTTACTACGTTGCCTATTGGCATGACAATTGAGACGACAAAGTTTACTACCAGGAGAAGATCGTCTATTCGGTTGATTGGCTGTATAGTGTCAGAATGCTTTTAATTAAAGGGATTTGGGTGTCTTACTGCATAAGTTATGGTAACAAGGTACCCGATCAAGTATATTAACAACAACACGGCCTGACTAGCAACCGCGAAAGCAAATGAAGAAAGTGTAGTTCGGGCGAACAACGACACCACGTATGCGAGCAAGATAGAAGCCATACCATAAAGCGCAAAGATCAAGAACAAATACCCATCATGGTACCAAGCCGACGAATCGACGGCAAAAATAATCAGACTCACAGCGCTGGAAACAAGCACGAAGATGAAATCAAACCCCAGATGTGCGAGCCAGAGAGGCAACGACCTAACGCCATTTGAATACTCGAGATCTCGGATGTTTCGAATCCGCTCAATGGTTGGGTATAAAGCAAAGAATCCCGGGTATACAGCTAATGCGAGACCAAAATAGACGACGAGTTGAAGAGATTTTCCTGTTCCAGGCACCCAGGGGATATCGAACTCTGCGTATTGAGTTGAGATACTGACGTTGGTCAATAAACTGTCCAGGATATTCAATCCGAACATCCCAAAGTAAATGTTCCGATCTCCTAGATATGCAACTGTAGGGGGAGATGTATTGTCTCCAAGCCAAACCCCAGCTGGTCGGACAAATGTAAAGTTCGTATTAATGTAATTATTAAACTGGTCGAACGTATCCACTATCTGAATAAGTCTTCCAAGGTCTGAATCCGGGGGTAGAGGACCAGGAAGCTGCCGCTGAAATAAAGCTCTTGCCGACGCGAGAGAAACCTTGGATGAAGGACCTAAGACCACAATGAGTCTTGAAATTGTTGAGAGACTTTCGACATCCGATCCTCTAGATCTGTCGACTGGTGAACATCCAACAGCCCTGAAATCCTTCAAAAATAAGGTGACGAGTCCCGCTGCGGTGACTGGTAGGAGAAAAGCACATATATAAGGAAGATAATTCCTCTTTAAAATCGTGTATCTCTTTCTGAATAGCACCCAGCATTGGCGGAATGGACTGATTCTTTTGCCAGTATATAGGCCTAAAGTGTCAAGAGAAGTTGGAGCAATCTCTGGTCCCCCTACTCTTTCTTCCGTTCCTTCTGTAGTCTCTGAGGGTGCTTTCTCTGCCACCGTGCCGAGCGGTGATTTCGCCTCATCAGCAAGTTGAAGGAATACATCCTCAATTGTGGGACCGGACAGTTCGTATTCCGAAAGACCATGTTTATCCAGACATTTGATAATAAGTGCAGCCTCACCTGAAGTTGAAGCGGTATAAGTGGCCTGACCAAAAGTATCAAATCTCTCCACGCCTTTGATGTGTGGTGATGTTTGACCAGGAGGTAGATGGAGATGAATTCGATAACCACCACCAAGCTTTTCTTTCAGCTCAACAGATGTACCCTGTGCTCGTAGCGTACCCTTGGAGAGAATAAACATTTTGTCTGCTAGTAAATCGGCTTCATCAAGAAAATGAGTTGTCAAAATTAGAGTGCGGGACCCCCTCTCAGCGAGGAGGATATCCCATATTTTACGTCGTGAGAGTGGATCTAGACCAGATGAGACTTCATCAATACAACAGACGGCACTGCCTCCTGTAAACATTATTGCAAGTTGAAGTTTCCTTTTCTGGCCACCTGTTGCCGGAGGTTTATAATTAGCGTGTTGCTCCTCGGAATGAAAGAAGTGAGAGACCTCGCCATCAATCTGCGTACAGTTTCCAGCAAGTAAGGTTCTTAACTGCTCTTTCAAGTAGCCGTTCTAGTACACTTGCAACAAAACTCGATTACCCTGAACGGCTCGCACGACTAATTCGATTGTGCATGCCCTTTGGGATAACCATATTTTCTGTTGGGTGTACTTAGAGTGACAGCAAAGCCTCGTAACATTTTTGAAAAGTTTCATAGAGGGAGGATCATTAAATAAAGTGTAACCAAATTATGGGGTTGCCCGAGAAATCTTAAGACAATAAAATATATCGCCCCAAGACTTATAAAACATCCCAGTAATTTCTTTCCAGCTTGTCAACCAAAAATTCCAAAGAAAGTGACTTACCTGAAAGTGTCTTTGACTTTGCTGAAACCTTTCGATCGAGATCAACCGCTTCCACAAGTTTCTTTAGTGCTTCTTTCGAATCGTGCTGGAGCGGCGACTTGAGATGATTGAAGATGCGAACATGCTCCTCCACAGTAACCTCATCCCAGAGTACGTTCTTCTGTGGCGCAATCCCTAGACCACCTTTACCATTGACAGTAATAGTCCCACTTGTGACGGTATTTAAACCAGCAATAGAGTCGAGTGTGGTGCTTTTACCACTACCATTCGCTCCTAGCAATACGCAAATCTCACCTTGTCTTGCACTCAAATTCAAGCCATTGACTGCCACTGCAGTAGGCTTTGGGTTGCGCATGAATCTTCGACGCAACCATGGGGTTGGATAATGTTTGCTGAAATCTTGCAAACTGACCGTCTCGTTTCTAGCAGCCATATGAGAATCCTGATTGTCAATCTCGACAATTCTTCCCTTGGAGGCTGTTCCATATAGAATTCTTGATACCCAAGCTCCAATCAATGGATACAAAAATATTTGAAGAATTATGAAAACCCACAAAGCAATTCCAGGAAGCTCCCATGGATTTTGTGGGGCAGAATGAATCAGGTCCGTAGCCATTTTCTGGCGTTCATATCGAGCGATGAATATTAGGAAGAATACGTAATTGCAGGGCGTAAACAATAAACTTAGAACAGCAACGGTTCCGGAATCTTGAGCATCAATTACCTGAGCCAAAACTCCTAGTAATAATGTTGCCAAAGCAACCGAGATGCCACTGAGCTGTGCTTTCTTAAAAAAAGAAGCACCAAGAATTGAAAAACTGGTGAGAGCGAAACCCGCGAGGATATGATAAATGATGATGATCGCCATGGAAGTTTCAGCAAAGACGCCCAAACCAATTACAATTCCACTGATGATCCAACCTGGAAGGTATATGAGATCAAAAGAAAAGTGGTAGGCTAAGATTTGTGCCACTTGGGGTTGCCATCTCTTTTTATTGGGCATCATTGCTTCAATGAGTTGAGATATTCCCAATTCTCGCTCCGAGGCAATAAATCCCGTGAGATGGTAGCTCACACCAACCATTGCTATCAAAAACGCGATGGCTAGTATATTAATGATTGCGCCTTGGTAATTCACACGGATATTGATATTTCTTTGCTCCTGAGTGATGCTCGTAAAAGGGTATTCCGAGATATTGTTCGGCAGAGGCACAGCTGCGGTAGACGCATTGATGGTGAGAATGGCATGATCTACAGCTCGCTGCAAGGGAAGGAGGAATATTTGAACGTCGTTGGTAGTTTTTTCGACATCTATTCTTGAACCAAATGCGCCATCGGCTCTGGATTGAGTTAGCATCGGAATGGGTGTAAATAGTAAGGGTGTCCAACCTTAGTGTGTAGTTCCAAATGCCACCAGTTCCCTGGGTAGGAGAGGACTCAAAAACAACGCCTCCGTAACACGAGGTAGCACCTCTTAAACTACTTCGGCATGCGTCCAGAAGTTGTACCTCGTTCTGCAATCGCACCACATCCTTTCCCGCAGCCGTCACTTGTTGCGCAACCAAGTCAATGACTTGTCCAATATCTCCACCTCCTCGACCATTATCAACAAATGCGACGGTATGTCGTCCACCTGTGGCAGCATCCAACCCTTCACCCAAGGACCGTACTTCGCTCGGTGATCCAATTCCAAAGTTGGAGGGAGGAATAAACAGATTGCGGGCATAGCTGAGAAAGATGACAAAGGCGATTGGCAGCAGAAAGGCTCGTATGGTCGTGGAAATAGGATGGCGACGAAGGGCAATTAATACATTTTTGACAATCAGCGTCTGGACTTGGCCAAGGAAAGGGGATTTCCACATGGCGGAGAGCGAGAGAAGACTCAAGAGGAGAGAAGGAAGTTGAGAGAATGGAAAGAATTCATTGCTATCTACAATGTCGGAACTTTCTGGATGCTAGATACGGTCAAGAGTCTCGAGTAAGAGTAGCCTAAGAGTACTCCGTACTCGAGTACGCGTCTTGTCCTTTCCCCTTCCATAGCGGGAGCCGGGGGTGAGTGAGGGCGCAGTACTCGAGTACTGTAGGTGGGCACCTGCAATTGGTGACCGCCGCACCTTCTGTCTTGATACAGTACTGTAGACCCCTTGTACATTATTCAGCAGCGCATATTCAGTAGCGCAGTGGCTGCAGGTATAGGCTGCACCACTGCAGCAAACCGGGTTTCTTGCCGAGCGTAGCCCTCAATTGCCTTTTCTTTGATCAACCCGGTCCCGAGATCCCGTTCCCGGTGAAAGAAAGTAAAATAAATGCTTTACGAGTATCACTTTGGCATGATAGGAAATGGATGAAGAACATGGGAAAAAATGATTGCTGGAAAGTTGTCCAAAATCCTTACTAATGCGAAAATTTACCGGAACTTTTATGACAAATTCACGGCTTCAATTACGTAGCGTCATAGCAGAAGCTACTGCCACCTACCAGGTAGAGCTTCCATTCACTGCCGCTTTTATTACTCGCCCGTTGGTACAGTAGGGTAAGTGCAACCTTAATATTTAACCTTCCCCTCCTCAAGGTTGTCCGCAGAGCCTCTCACAAAGAACCCTTACCCCGCCATATTATTTCCACGACACGCGTCATAGGCAACACCCAAAGGACATCTTACAACGATGAAATCAGCTACCTAAGCTATTTCCACAGCCTACAAGTTGTCCAACAAGCTTCGTCAAACACCCAGATAAAGCTCCCGAAGATCTCACAATGGCCGCGAATATGCCAGCAAAGCTTAAGACCGCCGACCTGACGAGGTTCGTGGTTCGTGCTGGCCAACTGGAAACTGCGAAGCCAGTAATAGCATATTGGTGTATATGCTCCTGTTGTCTTGGCTTCCTCCAGCATCTGCTAATAATGCGGCAGGCGAATACTGGATCGTCAATCAGATCCTCTCCAAAGGTCTACACAATGGCGATGCGGAAACACTGGAATATACCACAACCTTGATAAATAAGTTGGAAAAGGTACGCAGAATTCGACAACACCTTGGGTTTAGTTGGGACATGTACTGAAAATGGGGTGGGAGTAGATTAAGGCGGAAAATCCAACAAACGATGCGATAATCGACGATGTTACTGGACAAGCATATGTAGAACAGTTTGGATTAGAGACCTTTCAGAGGGCAGATCGTGCAGTACAAGCGAATAAAGTAACCAAGTCAGTCAATACACCTAGACCATCTTCAGCCGAATAAGTTCTAATAATATTTCAGACAAACGGCGGATACCTTTCAAGCTGCATCGACATTTCTAGAACTGGTCAATATTTGGGGAGAACCAGATGCCGAAACCCGAGCGAGGATCAAATATGCGAAATGGAATGCTGTCAGAATTGTGAGAGCATTGAAAGAAGGAAAAGATCCCAACGAGTCAAATCCCAAACCGGGACCAGCTCCTGAGGAGAATCTACCAGCATTAGATCCAAACGATCCCGAAGTTCAACTTCTAGGAGTAACTACCAAACCACGGCAAGCATGCGTGGAAGAGGTACCGGATGAGCAGGATTTATTGGATGCACGACTTTCAAGACAATCGTCTATTGATAAATCTTTACACCCATCCGCCCAAGTCTCAGCACGTGGATCACCTGGTGCTGGTGATGCTAAACCTTTCGATCCCTGTCCTCGAGATGGTTTCCCTTATAACGTCGTTCAAGACGATAATGTATCCCCATTGGAATCACCAAACGATAGACAAAGTTCAGTTGGCGGGGGATATTTCCCAGAAGTACCCACCTTCACATCAGAAACACAAGATGCAACACTACCAACAGCACCTCCAGAAGATGTAATGGATTTAGGTTTACCAAATCATCCCTCCAACCCCCCAGGAATTTCTTCTCCGCCTTTCGAATCTTTCCCTCCTCCAACAATAAATCCGCCCCAACCTCAAGCACCTCCCAGTCCTCCACCACAACAATTCCACCAACAGCCTCCACCCGTTCAAGCCCCTGTTCAACCCTCTCCATATCCCACATACGCACCACCTCGACAGCCACAAATCCCTCCCGTCCCACAGCCACAGTATCAACCGCCTCCTAATTCACAAACCCAACCTGTGCGATACAATACGGATGACGCCTCGATAGCGAAGGCACAGAAACACGCCAAATTTGCCATTAGTGCCTTGAATTTCGAGGATCCTGCGACGGCGGTGAAGGAACTGAGAAATGCTTTGCAGACTCTGGGAGCGCAGTAACTGGTTTCTTTCTGATTTAGTGGAAAAGTTGGTTTTGAAAGCGAGTAGGCGGATATTGTAGTTGTGAAATACCCATATTTCCTTGTTCCTTATGGGATCTCTTCTTATTTTTCCTTCTGCTGAAAGAAGGGCGGAGGGCGGTGGCCCGGAGAGGTAGGATGAGAATGTGAAGCGAACTTGTACCCGTCCTTTTCTGTCTCTTTCTTCTTCTCCTTTTATTGAGGTATCGATCAGATTGAATAATTGAATTCTTTGATCCTATTTCTCCCCGTCTTTATTTTACTTGGGTATCTCTATGTCTGGGTGATATACTGAAGTATTCTTATACATCTTATTTCTGGTCTTATTTCTGATCCTCTGCGGTAGGTGGATTATTACTGTTACTATTACTATTACTATTACGTAGTGAACGACGCGGAAGGATCCTGGACTTGGGTTCGATGGGTGCACTGCGTTTTAGTGGTGTTAGTTTATGATGGGAAGGAAGGATCTAGGTAGAAGGAGAAGGAGAGGGATCGTGATAGTAGGATTGTAAGACTGTACTGTGTGTGGGTGGGTGAGGGACGTAACTTACAAACTCCACGATTGTTTGAAGATCTTTTGGAAATCTAGGGGGGTTGATGGGTTGGTTTTTTTGTTGTTGGTTATTGTGGTTGTGGTTGTGAGGGATTTGGTTTTGGTTGTGGATTTGGTGATTCTGTTGTTGGGGGGG